ACAAAGCATGTCATGCTTCATGGCCAGTTCAAATGAATCACAGGCTCAAGTACAAAAGGCTAAATATTGGTACAGTGTTATTCAGTTAAGAAATTTATTTTCATTTAGAAAATCCATTTTGTGCATATTAGCTTTTCTTGAGTTATTTGTGCTCATTTCTCTGTTTAAAAACAAAATGAAAAAAGAATATAATCAGTTCATTGAAATAGTCAAATAGCCTGTGCAAAAGGTTTTGTAGTGCAGTTTGGAGTGCAGAAAATCATTCAAAGTCTGTCATTGTGGAGATCCCTAAACCAAAAAGGTGCCTGTCTTTGGATGGTGCATATAGAATAAATCAAGAAGCATGTTGTAAATCTGTAAAAGCAGGATTTTAACACCGGAATCACAGGTAATTTTCATCTCATTATCTTCTGGCCAGACTCTTCCTTTGACTATGAAGGAGGAGGAAGAATCATTTTTTTACTTCCACTTGCATGTTCTGGATTCAAAGCACCAGCTAGAACAAACAGGCTTGTTACTGTAATGACAGTTGCATGAAATGAGGAGCTCGCTCCTAAGCTGTTTGGTAGTATTTCTGTGCACTAGAAAGCAGTTTTCTTATGCCTTACATAATGGGTTGTATGGTACGGAAAAAAAGAAGTCATTAGTGTGCATTCTATCTGACAGTATTTACAAGAACCTTGGGACCAGAGTACTTTTCAAAGTGCTCCTTGGAGTAGCTTTTTCTTCACCTTCCATTTATTTATATAATTGTCTTTGGACAACCAGGTTAATCCCCCTTTCTGTTGCTATATGTGTAAATTAAGGGTGTGTTAATTACACAGAAGTTTTTGGATTTGGAAGTCTGTATAATGAAGAAGGCATTTCTAATAAAATGCATCCCTTTAAACATTTGGATACTATTTTTAATAGTAACCAGGACTAGGCAGATGACAAGAGTATCTTGGACTGAACTCTGTATTAGTACTTCCAGATGTATGAATCAAGTCCAGCTTAGCAAACACAGAAGTTTAGTAGTAAATTTTCATTATAAAATTAATCTTTTGCTACATTTTAAAGTAAATCAGCAACATCTGAATGAAAAAAATCCCACACTGAAATTAAGTGCTTCAGCTGAATACCGCTTATATGTGTATGGGGCCTTAATATTTAAATAAAAGGTTCCATTCCGCAGTGGAAGAAATGGGAAAACGTTCAGTAGCAGTCATTGATACGTGACTTGATACATGAGATACTTCACTGTAAACTGGTTTACACATGGAATAGCAGTAACATTGCAGAACAGCAGTTATATTGCTAAAAGTATAGAAATGAAGTTACATCATTCTCTGCCTGCATTTTGCTAGACAGCATGTTGTTGGAACCTGATGCAACCAAAGGACACCCAAAAGAAAACAAAAGGAGGTACTTGAAAATTCATGCAGGAAAGAATCTGCAGCTGAAATACCAGATGCCAGTTTTCAGACGACAGAAAATGCTGATACTTGTATGATAAGCCTCCCTTCTCTCAAATGGTTTTATAACTGTAATGCTGACAGATGCTTAACTATTACAATAGTCTATAATATGAAAAAAAAAAAAAGCATTAGAATTACTCTAAGAGGACTTAGTCCCTCACTAAGGTCAGTTTGTAATTAATTTAGATGGAAGCTGTGACATTCCCATGATTTACACATGCAAAATGGAACAGGCAGGTTTCTATGGAGCACATTGTGTGTTAAGTACAGTAATATCTGTCATCCACAAAAAGCTCTATACAATAATAAATAATACATATTTGTCTAGATTAGCTAAGCAGAGAAGTTCTTGACAGGAGAACACATGTATCTGGCAAATGAGAAAAAGTTGTTCTAGATTTTTATTTTATCATACATATTTTGGTTTTAAATCTTGCTAAATCCTCGAGCTGAATACTAATTTCTGACTGTGACCTTGACAGGTGAATTGCATACTTAATTTATTTTAATATTTTCTTGATTTAGAATGCAGAGAGTGCCCTTTAAATGAGAAAAATACAAGTACTTTGTCAACCTTTGCAATATCATTCACAATGCATATGCTGTTCTCACATCTTCTTACACATCTTTCTAAAGTAACCTCTCCATTTTTATACATAACTTTATGTTAAAAATTTTAATGTAATCAAACACTGAATGATGGAGTGAATCAAACTAAAGAAAGATATGATTCTAAAGTTTCAATGATAAACTGCAGAAAAACAAGCAGATGCCAGCCTTTATGTTCGGGAGCAGAGGAAGGCACAACATCACTAAATGTGCTGAGTGCTGGGTACTGGATACAGAGAATGCATGGTGGCAGGAAGAGACATACATAAGTTGAAGGAGAAAATGAGATGCTGATGATTCAACTGGGAATAAACAAGAACAGAGAAAAAAAAAAACAAGAACTGGAGAAGTATGTTAATACTTCAGCATGTTAATATTCATAAAGCTTGCAGTACGTATTGTTACATTAAGTTTCAGTTTAAATACGGGAAAAATTAAGTTCAGGAGAAAGTAGCCACTGCCATACATGCTTACAATTGACCTTTGAGGATCCAGGCAATCAATTTGAACTTCAAATACAAAGAGGATTCTCCCTTGTAATGCAGTCTGGTTTTAAGTCTAATGAGACAGTTAGAAATGAGGTGATTTTGTTGGTTAATTCAGCTGTCAACAATGCACAGCTTAAACTTCTCTCTAAACTTCTTCCAGTTTTTTGAACCTACTGCAATGCACTTTCGAAGTGACCTAGAGTCCAACTGAAGAACAGCTCAACATTTCAAAGAAATCAGTGGAGCTCATGTGGAGTTGAAGGATCTCCAAAGGATTTGTCTACCCACAGGTGCTCTCCATTTTGAAACATTGGAAGTGTTTATATTGGACATCACCAGGAAACAAACTGGACAAATGAAAATGATAGAAACTGTACAGGGTTCTAACAATACTTTAAGATATCTTACATTGATTCTGCTGTAAAAGTTCTTGTTAATTTATTTTGTTCAATTATCAAAGAATGTGCATTTGATATAATTCTGTTTTAAAGAGTTAAATGTTTACATTGATATAAAATGTCAATGACAGGATTATTTAATTTTTTTTAATGCAATAAGCATTACTAAAATAAGCCTGATTCTGAACTGGTATAACTGAAAGGTTAGGTTTCACTGAAAAGTTAAGAGTTGCACTGATTTGCAGCACTTAAAATTGACTCAAAATAATAAGAAATCCTATGAAAGGAGCTGCAGTCCCATCATGTCTTCATAAGCCTTTCACAGAAAAGATGGAGGACGAATTCTGATTTTCTTTAATTTCATTTTCATCTCCTTTAATTTATAACAATATTTATAAAGAACAAGTTAAGAAAAAAGGAAATAGAAACCGGTTTTTATGCCCCTTACCTGGCTTGTTATGATAGTGTAACATCTTCTGCTGTGAGTGAGCATGGACACAACCAGACTAATAACAAGCAATTTCTTGGCAGGACCTAGAAATACATGATTGAGATGTAAGGCAGTTTTCAAAGTCTAAATCTGAATAGACAGAAAGAGGCAGCTACCTATCAGGCTGAATGCAAGTCCCCAGCTACAGGGAGCTTCCTGGAAGCAAGTCTTGATAGCTAGTTAGGGTACTTACGGAACAAGCTTCATTTTATCAGCTGATTCTACTGAATTGCCCACAGCAAAATCCTAGAAGTTTTATCCAGAGACAAAGTGCTGTCAGCATATTCAGAGTTTATAGGTAATATTTTGTCACACGCCACACAAAGGATTTCTCATATTTCATAGTCATCTATTATTTTATTGTATATTCACCCTTCATCTCCATAATCCTTCTGAAGAATGTAACTAGGAAAGATATGCCTAATCAAATCAAATCCCAACCAACTTTGTTGCGTGTATAATGGACACTGGGGGAAGTCAAAAAGACACAAGGAAGTCTAACATGCAGCCAGACAAAAATCAAAGACTCCTATGTTGAACTTAATTTTAACACATTAAAATTAAATGAATTTTAACAGAAACATGAAATGCTGCATTGATTCAGGAAATTTGGGGTATTTTCCTTTGTCTAAACATATATCTTAGTGGCTGTGACAAAGTATTTAGGTGCAAACACACTCAAGTTGTCAACTACTTTATTTGCATTACAACACATTCAACTGTCTGGTGACAGCTGCAGCTGTTTTCCTCCTCCTATTTCAAGAGGAGTATATACCATTTACTAGTGCAGTAGCTGGACTGAACACGTGAGATCACTTTTTGTACTCCTTGTTCTTTAACTCTGAAGAGCTTATATGGGGAAAATTTAGGTAGATTTGAGTCAATAATAGCTATTGCTTGCACAGACATGTAATGTTTGCAGGTTGCTTTTTCTGACTGTCTGCAGGCCAGTACGTTTGGACGTAAGTGCACTGAATTTTATCTTCATTTTGCTTTGAAGCTAAAACTGTGACAGTTTTTCCCATGTTAAACCCTTATATACTATTTCTTTAAAAAAAAAAAAAAAAAAGAAAAAAGTATGGGCACTGGGCAAGTATTTTATAATCTGTAAATGCATCTTACTTTGCAAAAAGTAAAGTATGCTGTAGGGAACCAGAGGTTATTTTTGAGTATAACTATACTCATTCTTGCTTCACTTACTGGTTTTCTATTTCAAGCACATTAATATCTGTAAGAGTTGTTAGAGTACTTTAAAACTGGTTTATGAACAACATGAAAATGTTTAAAAGCTATGAGAAAACAAATGACATTGAAGAAGTTAAATTTTGTATCCCATCTTTGTTTAAAAGAAATATAAATTTGAATTTTACAACAGATGCAGAGTTATTAAATAGTAACTATTTCCTTGGGGTGTAGTATTTCAGTGTATAAAATAGTGGTAAATTCCTGATTAGGAAGCTGTATCAGCCATTAAAAATGTCCTAGCAATTCTTGGTATTTAACAGCGTATCTCAATATGACCACAAAGACTGCTTACCTACTTTAAAGGAGCTTTCACGTGGAAAAGCTAGATGTGGTTCTCCACATCTCTTCAAATGGTAGGAAGGGAATATATATTTTTTCCTATCACATGCTTTGTAGAGACACAAGTGTAATCAATAATAATAATGTCAATTTATATCTTAGAATAAATATAATTACAATTAATGTCAGTTATTAACAATCCTGATTATAGGTTAGGTTAAACAGTAACCAAGCATGCAATACAGTAAGAAGAACAGATACAGAGTAAAGGTTTTTTTTATATCTGTATTTATGTATACATATATATACAAACATTTCTGTAGAAAATAAGTTCCATATATTTCTCTAATACAAATTTAAAGGAAATTAGCTATTGATTTTTTTCAGTATTTTTTCCTCTTTTGCAATAGGAAGAGCAGGAGGTAAAGTTGCTGTAAAATGGGAATTTGTATGTGCAAAACAGGACACTGCGGGGGAGAAGACAGCAGTTACCTTGAGCTATTGCACTCTGGTAATACATTATTCAACACTGACCTAACTTTCTATGTATCCCAGTAGAAAAGATACTCTGGTTTTAGCCCACAAACCCCTCAAAGGGACAAAGTGTATCTTAAATTCATCTTTAGTGCTTTCTGCTTGCTCAGAAGTGCACAATTAGAAGAACTAATAACACAATTACAGAATTATGTCTTAGTACAGTAGAAACCTCAATTACATATTAGTCTTATTGATCTGTGGGTTTGTCCCCCCTCCATTATTTTTTCATAATTCCTAAACCAAATAATCCAGTAGTTTTAAGATACAGAAACTATGCAATGGCATGCCAGATCAGCCTTCAGATCATCTGTTACTGTGTTCAAAGGACAGCCTTCACCAGAAGCTAAAGCAAGAGTTGGATAAACCCCAAATATGTGAAGATGAAAGTCCTCAACACTCTTGATATAGTGTACTGTCCAATATTTTGATACTTTGATGCATCCTGTCATGTTACTAGCAAGGCCTTTCACTTACTACATATGCAAACAAAATTCAGGTGACTTTGTCATTGCTTAGTTCATTACCTTCTTGTTTTTCTACCAGTTCATGACAAGAAGAGCATTCCTCACCTGCCTTCTTTACAGAAGTCATTCTTGAAGGATTGTCCTCCAATCTGTAAGCAATCAAACTCCACATAAATGCTGTCCATCCCCTGGCTTTATGGAGAAACCTGTGAAGGAAAAAGTCCTTATCCACCAGCAGAATGAGTAAAGACTTGGGGAGTTAACTATTGTGTTCTGCATCACTGCTTCAATAAAATCATCACTCAGCCATAGTTGGAGTGTGATTGCGTGCAAAGAATAGAGATCCACAGTTCATTTCCAGACAGCAGTTTGATGCGGTGATACCAAGTGTCAGCAAAGTATATCAGAAGTAGTGACAAAGGAATACTACTCAACCATGCTTTCCAAAATGCAAGTCTTAAACGAGAAAGTTTGACCAACAGAAACAAAGGAATCAAAGAAAAAAAAACCCAAAAGCATCCACATAGCTGTAAAATAGGAAACAGATTTCTATACATCTTGAAGAGTCCTTAAAAAAACCAAAACAACCCCCAAAACCACCAAAAGCAAACAAACAACCCCCCCCCAAAAAAAAAACACCCACAAAAACCCCTTCAAACCACAAATAACCCACAAACTATTATCAATCCTGTCCAGAACTGAAATATATGTAGTCTTTCAAACACAGATTAGGTGAAACCCTCTCCCCCACCCCACCAAACTCTTGTATTTGATGTACTTATATAAAAGACAACACAATAAATTGCAGAACTTCATAAACCATGTAACATGCATTTTTGCCAAATCACTTTGCAACACATTTAGGTTGTTATCACAGAGGTCACTAGTTGACATTATCAATTATGAATAGACTATTTTTTCTCAATAAATAAGAGTAATTTTTAATAATTTTAAGGTACTAAATTCTTTACAAGCCTTAAAGCGCAAATAAGCATTCTTTACGTCATATATAGTTACATATTCAAGCCCTGCTGCAAAAGCTTTTCTCCCCACCTAACACCTGCTTTATTTATAACAATGTTTTCATAGAGTAGATAGATTAAAATATTTTGTAATTTAAAACTAAATAAAACTAACAAACTGTTTACTGGAATACTTCTACCTAGCATTCCTGTACATTAAAAAGCTTCATTACTATATCTGAATGCCAGTTATGCTTTGGATGAAGCTAGGAAATATCAGGTGTTAGAAGCTGACTTTTCTTAAGTCTGTAACTCCAGTGTGCTCAGCTAAACTACATGGAGATATGGTGTTCCCAACAGAGATGAGGGGAATAGTTACAAGATTTAAAAGTGGGTTCTCAGCAAAGAAGACACAGATTCTATCTGTATGCAAAACAAATCATAGTAAAACCCAAATACCAAAGCTCAAACTGTGCCCCTTATTGACTGCTCTCATTCTCATACCAGAAATATGTTGGTATGAAAAAAAGATACGGGTTTTGTCAATAAATGTAAGCAATGTGCATTCTCAAGTTTTAGTAAAATACATTCCTTATGGGCTAAAACTTGGTATACTTCCCCCACAATTTAGATAATTAAAAGTTTCTGTTTCCTTTCTGACAATTTAGATAATTAAAAGTTTCCCTCCTTTCCTGTGTAACATTATCTAGGTGTTCCTGCTCCGGCATTCTTCACAGCATACTGTGATAAAAAACTAACAGTAAGTGCTTGGTATGAGATGTCTTCTTGCCACTCACATCTATTCAAAAGTAAAAATCATTTTTCTTTTGAAGTTTCATCAGTTTTAAATTTTACCCAAGTACACTTAACTCCGAAGCATTCTTCAGCCTTCTCACTTGTTTTCTGCAGGTTTTTGTGAACTAAATTAATCTACTTGGACAGGTAGAACTTTTAGGACTGAGCAGTAAACGACTATCTGAATAACTGAAGTTTATATAGTGCTACCGAATTACACCAGATCAGCTACACAGCCCTGAAGGAGTAGCTGAATAAGTATTAACGAAGAGTAGGTTTAGTGCTATGAATACATACATGAGAAATCCAAAGTGCAGCCTCTGAATTACCTACTGATCTATTGAATTAATTCCTGCACTACATGCTGCCAAGAGCAGAATTCCTCTTTTGTTAAGTAATTTAATTCATAACAGAAAATAGAAAACATTATTACAACAGTAAAAAAAAATACTTTGCGTGAAATCTCCCAATGTGAGAGCCAGGGCTCAAAACATGGACTGAGGGCAAGACATTACCTTATCTTTGTATCTGTAAAATACAGATATAGCAGGAAAAAACAATAAATTTAATGTTACCTTTGGATTTGTCTGAATTTTACTTCATTCAGTTACAGTTCTAGGTAGGTTTTGTTGTAAAGAGTAAACTGCTGAATCACTCACAGGCAGAGTTAAGACGTTAATAACACTGAATATTGTCTCTGTAAAACAGAAACATTCCCAAGCACAGCAACCACAGTATTCCTGTTTTCAAATTATTACTTCCCAATTTAAGAAATAACAAGCACATCACCTTTGTAGTCTTGGATCTGCAATCATTCAGAAATTTATACTTCAAGTATAATTTGTCTACAGATTATACTATATATGTCTCCCCCCAGAATGTTCTTTTCTGATAATCCGGACAGAGCAATGGCTGACAGAAGTCAGTGTGTGTGTCTGACAGCTGGAATCAAATTTCATACTTACAAATTAAAGTTTATTCAGGTAGCTTTCTAAATCAACATGACAAAGCAGTAAGTTTTGCCCTGCTACTTTAAGGGCTTTATTCTGATGTCACTTCCAACACCATAAAAGTGGAGTAATTCTACTGAAGCAGAATGAATAAAACCAAAGTGAAAAGAAATAACTGAGACTAACTAGTGCCATATTTAAGAAGCCATTTCAAATGCCAGGGTCTAAGCCTATGTGACAGCTTAGTTATAACAGTACTGTATTATAGTATTATATTATTATATTATGGACCTACCTATTACAAAAATTACATAAATCCATTTACCATAGCTTAAAATGACTTTAAAAGACCAGCTGAAAAAAACTACTGAAAACTACTGTCTACAACTTTCAGTAATTACATGAATTAAGGCAAATGTATCCTTAAATGCTATGTTTAGGAATGCCTATTGTAGCTTTTCTTTTCCTTTCTAAAGAATGAAAACATAAAACAAACCATCCTTTATGTGCCCTATGAAGGCAACATGAGGAGATTATAACAGTGAATAAAAAGGACAAAACCCTTAGGGGTGCAGGAATTTAGAAGCCAGAAAGACCACAGATGTCTTTATAGGAAGCTCCATATAGAGTGTACCTATTTGTACTTCTATTCTGCAGGCATACAAAACTTCTGCAGCAGAAAATCACTTACTATGTTTGAGATCTGTTCATTAACAGCTCTTTACAGGGCAGTCACAGGAGTATTATTGTGCACTTGAAATAAATTAAAACCACTGGGTAAATGTGCTCTATTCAGGACCAATAAGCAGCAAACAAAGTCAAGTGAGTTTAAAACTCAAATTCCAGCTGTACTAGAAGTTAAAAGCCACATGACTCCAACATCCCACCTTTATTTTAAGACTGGAAAGTAATTTATTCACTCACAAGGTATTGTATCATTGGGGCCTGATTGAGGAGTCATGACTTTTATAAGTAAGCACCTTAATGTTCTCAAATCACCAGGAAAATACTCATCTCAGTGATGTGCAAACTAATACCTTTTGTCTCCACAAGTTCCATTTAAAGGTGCAGCAATCTGAAAACATCTTCCAGTACACCCTCGCAAGAAAAAATAACTCCTGGAGACACTAAATTGAAAAAAGTAATTGAAAACAGTTCTGATTTTAACGCTAAAAGGAAAAAGCAAAACTGGATTTTGTTACTTATATATTTCTGCAAGGGATGGTGTGGCCATTAAAATTATTCAAGCAAATGTCGTTTGTAATGGTCTCTGAGAAGGTATGCTGATGATAACAAAGTGAGGCCCATATTTACCATTTGAGTCATATTCCTTATTGACCACACTACTCACATTCCCTTAAAGGCTGTAGAGATAGTAAAGGTGTTGGCATGATTACAGAGAAAATATGGATCAAAGAGCAGTTCTTTTTATGGTGTGAAGGACAGTGGGACTTCCAGTTCCTTTGCACTATTTGAGTGCAGTCTGAACGCTTCCTGAAAAATGTACTTGAACTGCCATGTCATGATTTGTGAAAGCCAAAACATCACATGAAAATTAGGATAAAAGAAAGGGGTAAGCAGACACCGTTCAAGCCAGCACAACTCTGCCTGACGTGGTTTTTTGGGGCAGGGGAGGGCAGAAAGGAGGGGATAAATATCTAGATACAGTAAACAATTTACTCAGAAATTGTCAGAAAACTGTCAGCTTTCCTCTGTCAGTTCTCACGTTATTCTGCATACATTTCTAGAGAATAAAAACTCCATAGGTTAGGTCAATATATGGCCACCAACAGTGACACCACCGATGTATTATGCCCACTTACGCTATTATTAGTACAAGTGCTTTCTTTAGACAGAACACAGGTTCTAAGTAGGGTTTTTATTGCTGTGCAGTGCAGTGTGTCCCATGCCAAGGCTCAGTTTACATCTGCATGACAGGACTGCATAAAGGCTGGATGGATTCTCCAGCAGGGATTAAAAAATGTGTTCTTGCACTAGAACGCTTAAACGTAGAACTAGACATAAAAATTATCCTACCTTACCTCCCTAGGAGATTTTGGTCATCACAGATTAAACCAGTACATTCATACAAGTTATTTTGTGATTTTATTAAAATCAAAACATTAGTCTTCCAAATAAACTTTTTTCTTCATTGCAATCCTTCTGGGTAAAATATGTTAGATTTGGGTCTAAGCTATATCCCCATCCCCACCACAGCATCCCTAAAACAGGTGGATGATTTGCCACTGAAAACCAAACCAAACCACTCTCCCATAGGCAAAAAAATTTGTTTGTTGAAAAGACCAACTGAAAAACCTAATGACCTAATTTCAGAAAATGGTTATAGCCTGTCTTAAACAGTCAAAGGTCTTCTGTTCTAGATACTCCCTGAAAGGGAGTGAATGCTCTATTACTGACGATGAGCTGAAGCTGACTGAGATGAGAGGGTCATGCACCTGACTCTCCCACAACAGTGAAAGTAAGCACCCTCAACTATTT